ACAACTGAAACGCACGCATCGTGGGTGGCAGATTTCGTGAGAGCAACCCCTGAGTGCCACCCTGGTTTTCAGATATTGCTGTTTGGTGCGAGGGGGAGAGTGTGGCCTATGCAAAGTTGCTGCTATTGCTCCATTGCATTCAGGGAGGAGAGCGTCATGATCTTGCGTACGTGAAGTTTTATAGGACCGCAGGCGTGCACGCAAAGACGGGCTGCGTGCGCCTATCTTCTTTCATCCCCGACGCATTCACTATTATCCCTATAACTTCTATTCTATGTCATGTCCATGTAGTGAAGTCGTTTGACGCGACTGAGGTCGATGTATACTTTATGAATAAATATTTTATGTAGTTAAGTAGGTGTTTAATATATTATAGTGAGTTATTCAATATGAAAATTCATGCCAACAAACTCTGGCCATGTTGTTACATGTACCAACAATGACTTAAATAATTATCATCAGCATGGAGTTGGATAAATACATTTTCGTTTGTGCTTTCTTCTATTTGTAGTTTTACAAAACTACATGAGTTACTCAAATACTGTATGTGACATAGGAAATACATGTTAAATAGGAGGTATTCCTTCTCCCGCAGCCTCCAGCCACACGCCCAGCTGAAATCTGTCAGAAATCCGAAGCGTCGGAAATGGTGTTGAAATCCGCCTGAAATAGAATTGTTGGGCGAAACAAACATCTGGTTACCCCATTTCCGACAGAAATCCGACAGTTTCCTGTCGGAAAACAGTGGGAAATCGGGGACAGGCAAAATTCGTCAAACACAAGGTTCGGAACCCCAAAAACCAACTCGGTTTAACCCCGGGTTTTTTGTGATGCGAGTCGTCTGTCCCTGCTGCTGCTGCTGCTGCTGCTGCTGCTGGCAGGTAAGCCTCCCACGAGTCGTTACTTCATGTGGCTGTGCATTCACTCTTCAGTGAAGGCACTCGGGCAGGGCAAGACGAGACAACGTGTTTTTTCAGTTCTGCCTTTTGAGTCGTTCTTTTCTTTAATCAACTTCTCACCTGTCTTGAAGTTTTTATTTTCTGCTGCGTGTCCACCTGCTTGTGATATCATGATACTGTACTGTACCGGCGTGCCTTCCGTGCTGTCTCGCCTGATGTGCCGCGACGCATGATGCTGCGGCGATGCTGTGATCACGCGGGCTCATGGATGTACAGTCTGCTCGTTCAACGAGTTGGGCCTTCCGGGCGCAACCCACCCTGCAGTTGCGGTAAGCACGCTGTGCAACCATCTTCCCCCCTTCCCCCTGCGTCCCCCATTGTTTTTCTCTCGCTTTCCTTCCCGCTTAACCTTTCCGCTTCCCCTGCTCCCCCCTTGTTTTCTCTCGCTTGCCTTCCCATTTGACGTTTCCCCCTTCGTTAGTAACGGATAGTCACGTGCTGCCTCGTTTCAATTTGGTGCATCAGATGATGTGGTAGCTTTGCTGCCGCAGAGGCTCTTTGCTGCCACTGCTGCCGCAGAGATAGGCTGGTATGAAGAACCGCGACGCTTGTGTCATTCATACTTTCTCGATGCCGCCTTTGTTTCTCCCGCGCCGCTCATTCCATGCAGCATGCCGCAACGATAGTGGTTGGCGGCAAGAAGGGCTGGCCTGGCGTCAAGCATTGGACACAACCAGCTGCCGGATTCGCACCAAATGATATATTAGGTTCGTTCTTTCATTCTTTTCAGTGCCCAGCTATCCGCGCAAGAAAGATTCTATCACCATGTTATCCATCTTGCGGCATTTGACTGTTTCGCTGTCTCTCCCGCTTGTCTGCCACCACTGCTCACCTCGTGTCACCGGTTGTCACCGTTTGACTATCCCTTGCGTACATCTCTTGATCATTATAGCGATCGGCGTTTCAAACCATCAGCCACCACTGCTTCGTTGCGTACAGTTGAGCAGTGGTGACACCCTTGTCTCTTCTCACCGAGCTTGATCCGCACCCCTCTGACCGCATGTCTGGTTCCTCCCTTTCTAATCTGCAGTCTTTCAGTGGGGCACTGGCTTGAGTGGTGCCTTTGGCCGCATGCACAGCGTGGCTCTTTCTGCAGACAAGAACGCCTTCACCAATTGCAATACCAAGGCCGTTTCTGCAATGGTTGTGAAGCCCTCGCGCAAGGCAAAAAAGTCTTACAGGCTTGTAAACGCAGGTTTGTTCTTAAGCACTGTTGGCAAGGACCCTGAACGAATGCACCTCTATCCAGGGGATCACGGTAAACTAACAAGGAAATCGGCAAAACACTGTTGTAAGACCACTTCTTTAAACTGCAATAGAGTGACACTTCCAGAGCACACCATCACAACCAGCAAAACATCAGTCTTCCAACCAACCGCCCATAGCTTAAAACCCTGCCAGATCAGCAATCACTCAGGTAGCACATGGCAGTGTGCGACTGTGGGGGCTTCCGCGCTGCCTTGTTCATGTTCAGCGCACAGCAACGTGCTTGGAGCCGGTGCCCACCTGCCCCCTCTCGCTGCGGCGCAGTGCCCTGTGCAGGTTGTACGCGTAGGCGAGCGCTGCCTTGTTCAGCCGCGGCTCGTACGTGGTTAGCTGGTGGGGGGGGGGGGGGGGCGGGGGGGGGGGGGGAGAGGGGGGGAAGGGAGAAGGGGATAGGGTGTGATGGGTGGAGTGCAGGTTGTACGCATAGGCCAGCGCCGCCTTGTTCAGCCGCGGCTCGTACGTGGTTAGCTGATGCGGGGGGAGCAGGGGGGAAGGAGAGGAGGGTGGGGGAAAAGGAGTGAGGATGAGGAGTGCAAGAGAGGGGAATAGGGGTTGTGGTATGTCAGCGCTGCCTTGCTCAGCCGCCGCTCGTGCGGTTAGCTCTCAGAGAAAAGGGGGCGGAAGAGAGGAGGGGAGGGAGGAGAAAGGGAGAAGCGGCAGGGGGTGGGTACAAGTGAAGACGAGGAGTAGAGGAGTGGGGAATCGGGGTTGATGGGCGCGATGCAGGTTGTATGCATACGTCAGCGCTGCCTTGTTCAACCTCGGCTCGTACGTGTCTGCTGATATGGAAGGGGTGGGATGGGTGGTGGGCCGGGGAGAGGGGGAGGGGGAGGAGTGGAGTTGTGGAGTGAGGAGAAGGTTCTGCGAGTAGTTGAATGAATGCGTATGTCAGATCTGCGCTGCTTCCCAGCTTGTGTGCGTAGAGCAGACAGAGGGGGGGGGGTGGAAGGTGAGGTGAGGGGAGGGCAGATCAGTGATGGGAGCTATCGTCACACATCAGTGAGCGCACTACTACACTCCGCACACCGTATCCTTGCTTTTCTTGCGCACCTTACCCTCACGCACACTTATAACGCACCTTACCCTCGCTGCTTATAACGCACCCGGCCTAGCTGCTTGTGACGCACCTTACCCTAGCTGCTTATAACGCACCCGGTCCGTGATGTTTTTGGCGATCTGCGGCATGTCCTTCTTGAGCACGATGACCTCGCGCGCCTCGGCGGGCTTGTGCGCCTTGTCGGGATGCGTGATCGTCATCTCCAGGTTCTGCCCCTTGCCCGTCGCGCGGATCGCCACCGTCTTGCCCGCTGCCAGGCCTAGTTTGTGAGGGGGGGGTTGGGGTGGGGGGGGGGAGGGCCGGAATGCGGGGGACACGGTTCGCCGTCACGCGGACAGGAGAGAGAAGGGAGTGCAAAGGACAACGTTCCCTCATCTCCGGATTTTGCCCCTTGCCCGTCGCGCGGATCGCCACCATCTTGCCGGCCGCCAAGTCTGGTTTGGGAGGAGGGGAGAGGTGAGTGCAGGTGGTGTAGGGCGCCGAAGAAACGAGAAATGGCGCGACGCCGCGGTTCCCGACGCAGCGGCTTTAGACGCAGAGGCCGTCGTTGAATCCGAAAAAAAAAACGTCCTAGATGAAAAATACCGTGGATCCAACCACTTCTCCAAATTCCTCTGGTCGCTACGTAGCCACCCGCTTTCGCGATTTTTTATTCGCCTCAAACGGCGATGATGAGAAGTCGTTACGCAGCCGTCCCGTTTCGTGCCGCGTGGGATATGCGAGAGCGTTTCGAAGCTCCTCGTAACACAGCAGTGCCACTCAGAGCGGCGCCCGACAACTCGACGCATGGCAGTGCGGCCTGCTTTCCCCGCGATGATCGCGGCCTGCTATTGACACATTCGCTTTGGTGATATCCGCTTATACGACATCTGCAGTAGCTATATCCGCTGTTGCCACATCCGTTGTTGCTGTATCCGCTATTTCTACTGCGACATCCGCTAAGCGGCGTCAGCAGAAATTTGCAAAGAAGTGCTTCGAGAGCGGCACGCGCGGGTGCGAACCTGCGCACATGCGCGGGCGCGCATCTGTGCACTTGCGCGGGCGCGTACCGGTGTACTTGCGCGAGTGGAGCGCGACGAGGTTGTTGGGCTCGCGGCTGAGGTGGCGCTTGGAGCCGACGGCCGTGCGCGCCTTGTAGCAGTGGCCCTGGTTCAGCAGCACCCACACCAGGTCGTCGGACGCGTTGGGGTAAGCCATGGCGCGATGAATGCGAAGTCCAAGGAGAGGGGGAGGTTACGGAAGGAAGGCACGTTGGGAAGCACACAGGGAGAAGGAAAAGAAAGGATTGAAATTGATGGAGGGTTTTAGTCGAGAAGTGATGAAGGCTAGGGTTTGCGAGTGAGGGCGAGTTGCTAGATTAGCCCTGTAGTGGTGGGTCATTTGCCCGAGAGGGGTATAAGATAACATGGGTGATCGATCTGCAAAGCTGTTTTATTGAACTACGTTAATGTTCTAATTGGATTGGACAATGTCTCTCAACGAGTGTTCTCCAATCGGAAACATCTATCTGTATTCCCCACGGCCATGTGGCTCCATGTCAGCGCGCCGCCTTGGGGTCATCCTAACAGATGCATGAATTTGAACGGCGCAGATTCATTCACAGGGATGACTGTAAATCTGCGCCTCCATCGTCCATTTTACCACGGCCAAGTGAAAGCAAAGCTCGCCCCACCCTTCCCGCTTGCTCGTCTGCCAAGTGATCGAACCTAGTAACCGACATGGCATCCACCGCGATTCCCGCTACTCTGTATCGAATCACGAGCTCTCAACACTGCCGACTGCAAGCGCAAGAGGCCGCGCCGTGCGCCCAATTCGCAAGAGGCCAGACTAGCGGTTCGCTTCGTTTGCCATCTCGCGGCGCGGCTGCTGCCGGCAGGGGTCGCACGGGATCGGCGATTTCGCGTCGTCGGTTGGCGACTGTCGCCGCGACGGGCACGAATGTCGCTGCAGATGCGGAAGTGGACTTGTACGGGCTTCTCGGGGTTGATCGTAGCTCGGATAAGGCCGAGCTGAAACGCGCATTCCGCAAGCTGGCGCTTCAAGCTGAGTGTCGCTTTCGGTGCGAGAGGAAGAGAGAACGAGAAAATAGACAACTCCAAGAGAGCACATATCACGTTTTTGCCTCACACCCCGCTGCTGTCACTCTCCGTGTAGTCACGGCTCATCAACCTTCCGCTCTGCGCACTACCCAGCGCGAGCTCCCACCATGGTCGGCTCTTTAGTAGGCCAGTAACAGTCGGCGGCGACTCGTGTCGCACGTCGCGCACCGCGTGAGGCACACGTTCTTCCAAGTGACTCAGTGCACTCCGCTCTCACCCGCTCCCTCTCAGCACCTCCTGCCTGCCCGTCCCTCACTCCCATCCTGGCTCCGCTCTTCGTCGTCTCTGCCTCATGCCGCGTCTCTGCCTCCTCTCTGCCTTCTCCCTGCCCTCCTCCCTGCCCTCCTCTCCGCGTCCCTCTCCCTGCAGTACCACCCAGATGTCAACAGCGACCCGGGGGCGGCAGACACGTTCATTCAGCTCAGTAACGCGTACGAGGTATCGGTCCGCTCTCACCTCTGGCCGCGCATGCCTCGTTATCCGCATGCCACGCATGCTCCAGCGTCACAAATACTCACTGCCACCGTCTGTGTGCCTGAATTGAATCGGTGCCACCACAATCAGCGCAGTCTTAATGCTGCTCACTCACCCACTCGCCTCCACCCAGTATGCTCACTGCTGCTGCTGCTGCCGCTGCCCTCTGCCCTCTGCCGTCTCGCCCTTCCCCCCTCCCTCTCTCTCCCCCCTTCCTCCATCAGGTGCTGGTGGACGCCAATAACACACACCAACACACACCAATACACGCCAACACACACCAATACACGCCACTGCACACTTCCTCCCACTGTCCCTCCCTCTCTCTCGCCCCCTCCGCCATCAGGTGTTGGTGGACGAGGAGCAGAGGGCGCTGTACGACCGCTATGGCGACAACATAACTTAGCACACGCCAGTACACCCTCTCTCCCACGGCCCCCCTCACTGCCCCGCCTCGTCCCCCTCTCCCCCCATCAGGTGTTGGTGGACGAAGAGCAGAGGCCGCTGTATGACACCCTAACAGACGCCAGTACACACACCCCCTCGCACTCCCCCGTCCCACTGGGCCCCCGGTCTCCCCGCCCATTTCCCCCCTCCCTAAACCCGCCATCAGGTGCTGGTGGACGAGGAGCAGCGGGCGCTGTACGACCGGTTTGGGGCGGCAGCGCTGAGCCGTGACTTCATGGCGGGCAGAGGGGGCACGGAGCGCAAGGGAGCGGCGTGGGAGGCGTTTGACACGTGGGACGAGTTCCAACCGTTCCAGCGCAAGTGAGTCCCAGTGAGGCAGCCCAGTGAGGCAGCCCAGTGAGGCAGCCCAGTGACGCAGCCCAGTGAGGCAGCCCAGTGAGGCAGCCCGGTGAGGCAGCCCAGTGAGGCAGCCCAGTGACGCAGCCCAGTGACGCAGCCCAGTGAGGCAGCCCAGTGAGGCAGCCCGGTGAGGCAGCCCAGTGAGGCAGCCCAGTGACGCAGCCCAGTGACGCAGCCCAGTGAGGCAGCCCAGTGAGGCATGGGTGGGGCATGGGAGGTGCGAGTGGGGTCCGTGGGGGAGGCGTTTGACACGTGGGACGAGTTCCAGACCTTTCAGCATAAGTGAGAAGCGGGTGGGGCATGGGTGGTGTGAGTGAGTGCGTGCGTGCTGCCCAATGAGGCATGGGTGGGGTCCCTAAACCCTTGACACTTGGGACGAGCCCCTCACCTCACTCAACCCCCATGCTGCACGGCACAACCCCTCACACGACAACCCTCCCTTGCAACATGGCAGGACGCGCAAGGGCGATGCGAGGCAGGCAGCAGCAGCCAGGTGGTCGTCAGACAGCGGGAGTGAGGGCGAGGGCGAGGCAGTGGGCCAGGTGGTGGAGGCGGTGACGGGGGATGTGGTGGAGTACCCGCTCTCTGCTGCTGTCAGGGACAGATTTCATGACGGCCGCATCAAAGGTGAGCCTCTGCCCCTCGTGCCCTCTCGTGCCCTCTATCTCCCTCTCGTGCCCTCTCTTTCCCTCTCTTGCCCTCTCTTGCCCTCTCTTGCCCTCCATTTTCCACTCTTGCCCTCTCTTGTCCTCTCTCGTATTACATCACTCAGACCCCCCGTGTTCTTCTCCTTTCATATCCTCTTCCTTCCTTTCTGTGTGCATGCAGGCGTTGGCTTTGTGGTTGGCCGCAATAAAGGTGCGCTGCTTCCCTGCCACGCCCCTTGTCTCTGTCTCTTCCACCCTGCCACCCACTACTTCCTCTCTGCCTCCATTATGGTCATTTACCTCGTCTGCACATCGCCCCTATTGCTTGCTCCCTCATCTGCCAGCACATCCTCCTCATCTGCCAGCACATCCTCCTCATCTGCCAGCACATCCTCCTCATCTGTCAGCACATCCTCCTCATCTGCCAGCACATCCTCCTCATCTGCCAGCACATCAACCTAATCCGCCACTACCACCTTTCCTTGTCCCTCCAACAGACCGTGGCGATCGCCACAAGCTCCCACCCGAGGTGAGAAGCGCCTCTCTTATCCGTGCACCAAGTGTGCCCGAGTGTTTGTTCATTCATGCATACGTGTTTGTTCTCTTCCATGCCCTTTATTGCTACTTGCCTCACTGCTTTTGATTCCTCCACCTCTTTCCCACCTCACCTTTCCTGATTCTTAATCTCCTCCGAGTCACAGCCACAGAGTCAGAAGCAGCGAAGGTGGTTTCTTGCAACTGCTTTGACTGCCCTCATCTCTCAGCTCTCTTCTCTGCATCTCCGGCCGCTGGACCTTTCCGTACCCCTCTGAACCCCTCCACTTCCTACCAGAACCTGGGGCTGGTGGAGATAGAGCCGCTGGTCCTCGTTCCCGCCTTGCTCTCTCTTTCTCTCTGCATCTCCTGCATTCACGCCTCGCATATCTCGCCTCTCGTGTCTCACGTCCCCCTGCTCCTCCGTGCTACCAGAACCTGGGGCTGGTGGAAATAGAGCCGCTTTTCCAGGAGGCAGGCGAGGACGTGTGGCAGACAGACGCTCTTGAGAGTGCCGCCTTCGCCTCTCTGCCTGACCTCAGAGTGCTGCGCACTGTGAGCTCTCCCCTCCCTGCTGCGCACTGTGAGCACTTCCATCCCCGCTTTACCTTCTTCGCAGTCACCGCCTCCTCTTTTTGTCGCCATCCGCCTCCGCTACCCCTGTTCCCCCCACATCCCAATTAAATCCCTAGGCCTCCCATTGTGCACACAGGGACACATACCTATGCAACGCACACACATGCATGCACCAACAGATGCGCGCACACAGAAACACATATGCACACCCCTGCTTGTAACTTCCACCTTTCTCTTCTGCTCTTCTGCATGTCCTCCTTACTCTCAGGCCACTCTGTGTGCTCTGCGCGCTGCTCTCACACCCCTTTGCACCCCAAGCTCTCCCATTCCGCCCACTGTGCGCTTCCCACACAGCTCCTTCTTCTCTCTGCTCATCCATCCCACGTCTCCCCCTGCTCTGCGCCCGTCTCCCCCCTTTCTGCACCCTCCCATCCCCGCTCCCCCCTTGACATGTTCCCATCCATCCCCCCTGTTCCCCGCTGCCCTGCGCCCGTCCTTTCCCCATTTTCCCCTCTGCTCTGCACCCATCCATCCCCCCTGCTCCCCGTTGCCCTGCCCCCTGCCCGCCATCAATGCGGGCAGGAGTTTGACAAGAGGACTGACTCGTGGCGCATTCTGGATGCGCTGTCCCCAGGGTGTGGGAGCCCTGTGTACGACGAGGAGATCATCGTGTGAATATGGATTGCTTCCTTGCCTCGTACAGTAGTACGGTACTGTGCATTGTGCGAATGATGGGGAGATGTTGTAATCGTATAGCATCTGTGATGTCCCATTCGATACATTGTGCGGATGATGAGGAATGGTCCGCCGTGCTGTGCCGAGTCTATGGGAATTCAACACGTATGAGGCTTACAACATGTATCATGACATCAGATAATTTCAATTCTGGGGCATGGCTCATTGCCAGTGGTGAATGTGCACTAGGGGTGTTGAAGATGAAGACATTACCTGCACTTAAACGAGTCTTTAGAAATCGAAAGAATGCGTCTAATGTCCAGGGCAGGGCCCTGCAGGTGAGATGATACAAACCCCAGGCCAATGTCAAAACATTATATGTTTCTAGCTTGTCTAGGCTATGTAGGGGTTATCCTTAGAGGGTACAACTCTTTTCTCGACAATCTTGTACCCCCCCCCCCCCCTAACCTAATCAACCATCACTTTCTCGCTACTCTTAACATGGTTTCAGAGTCTAGGTACCTTCCTAGTCCGTTCCTAGTGTTCTTGGGCCCACCACGCTAGGATATAACTGCCCGTAGCACGCTGCCCTGAGAGCGCACTTATCGTTTTGCCCCACGAGCACCCCTAGTGCTGCCGCATATGCTGTTTTTCGTGCTGCCCCTCTAGCGCGATCGATCTGTCCTGCCCCACCCGCAACCGCGCTGCCCTGCCCTGCCCTGCCAGCAATCGCGCTGCCTGCTGCCTAGCGCATTGCCCTCCCGCGAGCGCGCTTCCTGCCCGCGAGCGCCACTGCGCCCCTGCCTGCGAGTGCCACTGTGCCCCTGCCCGCTCGCGCTTGTCGGGGGCCACTGGTGATCCCCGATTGATCATAGGGAAGGTTTACTGGCTCGTTGTCTTGGGGGGTTATGGGCGCACTGACCCGCTACTTAACAACCCCTTTTATCCCAATGGTCTAGTGGTTGGGATTCTGACATGGTATCAGAGCAAAGGTCTCGTGTTTGAATCCCAGTGTGTGCACTTCGGGCATCCCAGTGCGGGGGGGTGTCAGAGGTCCACCGGTGATCCCCGATTGATCCTAGGGAAGGGTTACAGGCTCGATGGGCGCACTGACCCGCTACTTAACAAGCCCTTTATTCCCAGTGGTCTAGTGACTGGGATTCTGACAGCGCTGCCCACCAGCAGCCTGCGCCCTGCTGTGCGCTGCTGCTGCTGTCACCTGCGCGGCCCCTCCTGATGCATGCGCTGCTGCTGCTACCTGCTGCTGCTGCTGCTACCTGCTGCTGCTGCTGCTGAGCGCGACTGCTGCTGCTGAACGCGCTGCTTCTGCTACTGCTGCTGCAAGTGTTCCTGCTGCTGCGCCTGAGCTGTTGCTGCCACACGCGCTGCTGCTGCTAAGCGCTGGTGCTGCTGCTGCTGCTAAGCGCTGGTGGTGGTGGTGCTGCTGCTGCTACCTGCTGATGCTGCTGAGCGCGGCTGCTGCTGCTGAATGCGCTGCTACTGCTACTGCTGCTGCAAATGGTCCTGCTGCTGCGCCTGAGCTGCTGCTGCCACACGCGCTGCTGCGCTGTGCCCTGCCGAGCCGCGCTGCCCAGCCCGCGCCGCGCCGCCCTACCGAGCCGCGCCGCCCAGCCCGAGCCGCGCCGCCCTGCTGAGCCGCGCCGCCATGCCTAAGAAGCACTACCCTACTGCTCCTACTGCTGCGTCTACTGCTGCCACTGCCACTGAGGGTCGTGCGACTAGCTTTGATGTTTGGCTTGATGATCTCCAGCTATACCTGCAGAGCGAGGCTAGGGATGGAATTTCACTGTTCTTGCATACCGAAGGAACCCTCCCAGCCCCAGCTGCCACAGTGGTAGATGATCATTCGAAGTGGCTCATGCGTGACGCCACTGCCCGCCTTGCTGTCCGCAACCACCTGCCCGTAGCTGAGCGCGCGCACTTTAGCCAGTAGAAAACAGCCAAGGCCCTCTATGACGCTGTAGTCACTCGCTACTCCTCCCCAACTACTGCTGCCCTAGGCCGTCTCATGCTGCCGTACCTGCATCCGGAGCTAGCCGATTTCCACACTGTCTCTGACCTCTTTATCCAACTCCGCTCTAGTAAGGCTCGCTACTGCGTCGCTTTGAAGCCGACCTTTCTTGCTGCGAACCCCCCCCCCCCCCCCGCAATATATCACCCTGTACATCCTCGTTACTCGCCTCCCTGACTCCCTTCGCACTGTCCTGGACCAGTTCCTAGCCCTTGACCCCACTAAACTCACGCTTGACTCGCTCGAGAAGTCCCTTCTCGAGGCTGAGAAGAGCACTGTCGCTGTTGCTGCCTCTCGTGGCACTCCCCGCTCCCCTTCTTTGAAGAGTGTGCTCCCTCCCCTCTCCTCGCCTCAGTTGCTACTGCTGCTGCTGTCGACCTCCTTGGTGCTGCGGAAGTTGGCGCTGCGTCTGCTCCTAGTGGGAGGCGCAGCAATAGCAAGGGCAAAGGGGGCAAGGGTGGTGAGGGTGGCACCAGCGGTGGAGGTGGCGGGGGTGGTGGTGGTGGGGGTGGAGGCGGTGGGGGTGGCTCTGGGGGTGGAGGCAGTGGAGACGGACGGGGTAGTGGAGGCGGCGGGGGTGGTGGTGTCAGAATGTTATATTGCTTACTTTGTGTAGGCTATAGTGGGGTAGCCCATAAGGGGTACAACCCAATTAGGGTTAGTACTTGTACCCCACTTCTGTTCAATGCATTCATTCTCGTTCATTCCTTTGACATGGTTTAAGAGGAGGTCCTTCGTCAGGACCGTTTTTTTTTTTTAGGGCCCACCACTACGCTGCCCCACTAGCCACCCTGCTGGCTCACGCGCCGCCCTCTGCAGCCCTCGTGCCGCACCTGCTGCCCCGCGCGCCGCCCTCTTGCGGCCCGCCCGTCGACCCTAGGCCCCGCACGCCCGCCTCTTGCGGCCCGCCCCTCGACCCTAGGCCCCGCGCGCCCGCCCCTTGCGGACCGCCCGTCGACCCTAGGCCCCGAGCGCCCGTCGACCCTAGGCCCCGCGTGCTCGTCGACCCTAGGCCCTGGCCCGCCCATCGCCCCTGCTGCCCCGCGCGCCCGTCGACCCTAGGCCCCGGCCCGCCCGTCGCCCCTGCTGCCCCGCGCGCCCGTCGACCCTAGGCCCCGGCCCGCCCCTCGACCCTAGGCCCGGCCCACCCCTCGACCCTAGGTCCGGCCCGCCCGTCGACCCTAGGCCCCGCGCGCCCGTCGAATCTAGGCCCCGCCCGCCCGTCGACCCTAGGCCCCGGCCCGCCCGTCGCCTCTGCTGCCCCGCGCGCCGCCCCTTGCGGCCCGCCCGTCGACCCCAGGCCCCGCGCGCCGCCCTTTCCGGCCCGCCCGTCGACCCTAAACCCAGCGACCCGCACCTCGCCCCTGGAGGCCCTCTTGCCGCCCCCACTGCCCTGCTAGCCGCCACTTGCGGCCCTCTCGCAGCCCCTGCAGCCCCGCGAGCCGCCCCTTGCGACCCGCCCGCCGCCCCTAGGCCCGCCGGCCGCCCCTAGGCCCCCCGAGCCGCCCCTCTTGCAGCCTGCGCGCCGCCACTTGCAGCCCGTGTCAGAATATTATGTTTCTCTAGTCTGCAGTGGGGTACTCTGTAGTGAGTACAACCCTGTTAGGGTTTGCTATATGTATCCCAATGCTTTCTAGTGCATTCATTCCATCTTCTCTCATTTCTCTCGTCAATCATTCTCACATGGTATAGAGCTGTTTTTCGATCCTTGGGCCCACCACTGAAACTGAAACTGAAACTTCTTTTCTCCTTACCTGCCTGACGCGCGCGTCGCGCCTGCCCTTCGAGGCCCCCCTTGCGGCCCGTAGTGGCCCCTTCACGGCCCGTAGAGGCCCCTTTCGCGGCCCGTTAGGCCCCTTCGCGGCCCGTTAGGCCCGTCGTGGCCCCTTTCGCGGCCCGTTAGGCCCCCATCGCGGCCCCTTCGCGGCCCGTAAGGCCCCCTTCGCGGCCCGTTAGGCCCCCTTCGCGGCCCGCTAGGCCCGTCGCGGCCCCTTTCGCGGCCCGTTAGGCCCCCGTTTAGGCCCCTTCGCGGCCCGTTAGGCCCCTTCGCGGCCCCCCTTTACGACACGTCGCGGCCCCTTTCGCGGCCCGTTAGGCCTCCGTCGCGGCCCCTTCGCGGCCAGTTAGGCCCCTTCGCGGCCCCCTTTACGACCTGTAGCGGCCCCTTCGCGGCCCGTTAGGCCCGTCGCAGCCCCTTCCCGGACCTGCCCCGACCCTGTCGCGGCCCCGTCCCGGACCTGCCCCGACCCCGGCCCTGCCCCGACCCTGTCGCGGCCCCTCGTCGCGGCCCACCGTCGCGGCCCCCTGTCGCAGGCCCCCGTCGCGGCCCCCAGTATCGGCCCCGTCGCGCGCGCCCCCCCCCCCCCCCCCCGCTCGCCACGCAAGGCGACGGGAGGGGCGACCTGGGGGGGCGCGCGTCGCCCCTTCTTCCGCCTGCTCTGGCGCCCTGGGAGGCCACGCGTCGCCCCCACCCCCCCCCCCCTCAGGTCGCCTCAACAGGCGACGGGAGGGGCGACCTGGGAGGGGGGGCCACGCGTCGGAGCAGCCGCCCCTGGTGCAGCCGCCCCTGGAGCAGCCGCCCCTGGTGCAGCCGCCCCTGGAGCAGCAGCCCCTGGAGCAGCCGCCCCTGGTGCAGCCGCCCCTGGAGCAGCCGCCCCTGGTGCAGCCGCCCCTGGTGCAGCCGCCCCTGGAGCAGCAGCCCCTGGAGCAGCCGCCCCTGGTGCAGCCGCCCCTGGTGCAGCCGCCCGTGGAGCAGCCGCCCCTGGTGCAGCCGCCCCTGGAGCAGCCGCCCCTGGTGCAGCCGCTCCTGGACCTCTGCAGCCGCCCCTGGAGCAGCCGCCCCTGGTGCAGCAGTGGGGGGGGAGGGGATCTGCGGCACCAGCCCCCGCCCCCCCCCCCCCCCCCCCCCTCCCCCTTCCATGGGGATGGCGGGGAGAAGGGGGGGAAGCTTGGAGGTCCAGGGGGAGGC